TATACGCTCGATTACGTAATTTTTAGGATGACATTCCTGCACGATGACGTGCTTTATTGTCCTTGATTAATTTATCATATTTCTTCTCATTGACATGAAAATGCATGAGAAACAATCAAAAAGACTAGCGAATTTTTTCCTAAAGAATCACCTAATGAATACCTTTCCAGAGATTTTGAGAGCTTCTTCAGGAATTCGGATTCATTCGTAGTCGGTGTCTTATTATAGCCATCAAGTGCTAACATCTTGTATGCATAATCTTGTATTTCTTATAGGGAGGGATTTGGTGAAAAAACTTATGTAGCTATATTCACTTTACGTTGGATGTTTATTGTCTACCGACATTATTGCTGCGCGCATTAAAATTTAATTGCCACGTAGCTGAGCATTAAACACAAAATATTAAAATAGTATAGCAACGTTATATATTTGTCAAATTTCCCGCGTGAACCCACAAAGTTCCTTTTTATCGATTCCTCTATTTTACATTACTTATTTCACACGATATCTTGCGTGATTTTTAACTGATATTTATAGTTAAATGTGTGAGAATAAGCGAATCATAAACCATTTTCAGTTGCACATACGCATATCGAACATTACAGTATTCGACTTGAATGTTTCTCCCTAATACCAATAAGTCCTTCATTTTCTATTAAATTAAAGTCCAAAAAAGTACACTTGGTACTTAGTACTGGGTATTTCAAAGCGAGTGAGGCAGGACTCAAAATAAGCGCTTTAAATGAACGAATCAAGCAACAACAAGCGACGGTAAAACGAGTAAATCGTAGGATGACTAGGGGGCAGCGTCCGCCTATTTTCGTGGCGTTAATTCGGGCGGGCGAGCGCCCGTGTGGAGAATGCAGGATGCCGGACAGGACATCCTTTCACGCTCAGGACCCCCGTTCTTTCTCGCAATATCGATTGCATGAAGCGAGTTTACGTGGTTACGCACCGGGGCTCTGGCTTCCGTCTGCCCCCCCCCCAATCCCTCCTCCTAAATATACCTACGCCCTCGTACGTACGTGCAAATATAGATTGGATATTCCTGTGACAGGACGGATCCTCTCATTCTGATCTTATCGTTTGTCGTCCAATCAAGACCATATGATACCTGCATTGTCAAACAATCATAGCTGGGGAACTTTTATTACCACAGAAAATATGAACATCTGCTCTGGTTCAATGCAGTTACTATTATAGGGATTAGTGTAGCAGAAGTTTGAAAACTATTGATTGCGATAAATCAAAATTCCGCGAATGAATTACCTTTTGTGAAGATTAAGAGTAAAATTTTGCTGTTAAACTGTTGCGTGCATTTGTGCGCATCAATAGATTTACATTAAGCTGGAGCATAATTTTTGTTGTTTATTAAATCGGTCAATGCTGTTTATTCAATTTTTTTTTATTCTATTATTTATTCTGTTGTTTGTTCTCACGTCAAATTTTATAATCCAAAAACTTAGTGATATGCTTAAGAATAGAGAGTGGAAGCTATACTTCGAGAAAAATATGAATGAAAATTCGTAGTTTTACAAAGAATCAACGGTATTGTAATTATTCATATAAGCAAATTTCCGATTTATACTATGACCCCGCATGACATTTTACAAGATATTCTCCAAAAGAAAATAAAGTTCCAAAACAATATAATGAAAAAATCAATTTAGCTGAAAAATTGAATTGATATCTCCGTCCGATAAAGACTAAACAAACTTTTTTCTTTTTAATTATAATTATCTTTATAACAAGAAAGAAAAAAAAATATTCTAAGCATAAGTCACTATCTAAATGCTCGATGATATCGCAAAATAGATTTGCTTTTATTATTACAATTATTTATTATTGACATATTATAAGCTTGTAATTTTATCGTATACAAAACAATATTACTTTTTAATAAAATTTAAGATACTTTCGTAAGAATATTTGCTTCGGTTAAGATTAGATTTACTTGTTTTGAATGCACGTAATCTTAGCCGAAATAAAAATATCTTATTATTCTCATAAATATTGATACCGATTTGGTAAATTTATTCTGAATGTTAATACTGCACAGGTTTCGGAGATAATATATATATAAATGATAATTGAAACAAATACAGCCACCTTTGTGTTCAATTAGTATAAGTACAAATGAAAGTTGGTATATGTATATATGGAAGAAAGTCAATCGCATTGTTACAATACAATAAGCGCAATGAATAAATATGTATTATATACAATACATTAAACTTGATTTAAGCAATCGGAAACATTAATAATTTAACAGTACGCTGTTGTGCTAATTCACAAACTTCAATACCGCTTGACACAGTATTTAATACAATTGAGAACCAACAAACCCTTTTCTCATTTTTATTAAGAATAGAACAAGACTGTGAAACTTTAGTGAAACTTTGTGTCTTTTCGTCTGCTTAAACAGCAAGTAATTCAGCCGACTCGATCCTCTTCGCCACAAATTCACTTCTATTCCCTTGAAAATTAATTGAATAAATTGATCGAAAAATTTAGAGTTGCGCAGTGAGTACGTAAGAACTGTTCCAATGAGACGTATAATTCAAGCTCGTGCATTCAGGTGATACCTAGTTTGCCTGACTCGCCTGATTTTCACTTATCCCCATGTGCGGGCGTAGTGTACAATGAAAGTTCTGCTCAGCAAGGAACAAGAGCAGACGACCGAGCGACTTTCAAAGAAAAATCAATCCGCCTAGTCGGGGACGGAAGAGACAAAAGTTCGTAGCGCTCGAGCGACGCGTAAAGAGGGTTAAAGTATTGACTCCGTCCACGTGAGTCCTTTATTTGCAAGGGATGTATAATAGCCTCGATGAGCGTAGCGTTCAGATTTCTCCAGATTTTTATACAAGAGTCTACAAGAACCATTAGTTCCGTTTACAATAAATATAAAACTGGATAGAGTGCGTTTTCAATTCAGGTTTTAATCAACCGATGGCTTAAATTAATTTTATAAATTATTAATTCGCCTATTTAATTAATTTTAATAGGCGTTTTTAATTTACAATCGCTGTGAAAATGTTGATGTAATGTACGTTATTTGCACTTACTATGAGTTGAAATGAAGTCAAAATAATGGCCGGTAAATGTGCACTAATGAAAACAGAAACGCTATCGACGTCGGAAAAGGCTATGTCTGCTATCTTTGGAATAGCACTTGGTATAACAATTTTTATTGACTTCCCCTGAAAAAGGATAACCATAAGCGAAGAGTAGTATTCTATCGGACAGTTTGGACGGTATTAGAAAAAAAAAAAGAAAAAAATGTTCTACTTAAGCTTATTACGCTTTTCTAATTTATAAATTTCTTATTCCAAGGCCATAATTTATAAATAAAAATAAGAGAAAAAAATACTCGTAAAATCTAGCAGCGCTCCAGGTAATAAAAGTTAATAAATGAAATTTTAAAGTGTGCGAATTAGTACATTGGGCAAAAATAAGACAAAAATATAATAATAAAATCTCTACGAATTGCCATTTAAATTAGAGTGTCGAGAAAAATTGAACCGTCGGAAGTAAAATCCCTTGTGTCTTTGCAAAAATAAACAGAGCTGCAGAGTTCGCCAATCAATGCAGCTGCTGACTGCACTTGGAGTAAGTGTTGCGGCAATCTTATAAAGGTCGCATTGTAGATGCCTTTACTTGATCCAAGAGTAGCAGTGCGACATTTAGAGAAATGTCCTACGTGACGTTGAAATGGCCAAAAATATGTAGGTTAGTCGAGTCGTATTTTCTGGCTGACTTTTTAGAGATCCATGAAATGATCGGCACTTTGATCGAATTGAATATCGTATATTTTAATAACCGAGATCTACAAATTCACTATTCCTATGTATGAAAATTACATTAAATTTTAATTAACGGGCTCTAAAAATTATTACATTTTCATTTAAATCTTATTTTAATAATAATAATAAGGATAGATTTTGTGAAATATCTTATTCCCAACGTAATATGTTATTTGATATTATCCTACATACGCTAAAATAATTTGAATTTTGAAAAATTATTTACGCTCTGAATTAATAGTATTAAATATAAAGTAATTTCAAATTAATCGTAAGTAATACAAGTAATACGAAATAAATGTTTCGATACACTTTTTTATTATTGTGTTTAAAGGATTGCGATTGCAGATGAAAGTACCTAAATATTCTCAAGTTAAAATAATGACATTGTATTATTTATTCATGCATTTATAATGCTTATTTGAAAATAATTTTCAAAGTACTAAGATATTATGTTCAATGAACGTTAAATTTAAAAATGGATTATATTTTTTGTAGAGTTTTCTATCATTCTATCTCAAAATCTGTACATAAGTGTATAGGTTTATAACCAGCGTATAAGCGTATAACTATAAATAAACTCTTGTTCAGCTTTCTTGAAATCATTAAAAGATCAATGTTGAACTTGAAGCATCAGCTGTAATGTCATTGCGTAACAACTATTACATATTCAGAAAGCTACGAGATAACGTAAACTTATGAATGGGATCAATTGTAACAATATATAATACACGGATTAAATATTGACTGAGTTCTTATCAAATGCAAACGCGTCTATAAAACGATAAGACGGAAAATAAACTTTTGTTTTATCGACGTACCTGTGAGTATTCCTAAATTCTTGGGCAAAGATTTTAAAAGCAATATTACGAAGTTTCTTTAATTTCAAAATCATTTAATTTAAAAATTCATAAAAAATTCTTAGACGATAAAATTATTTATATATATATATATATATATATTTATTTACTTATTTCAGAATATAAATATTTTGTATTCAATCGATATTAATGTCTCAATTACAATAATAATAGTATAATAATAGAATAAACATTTTTAGAAAAATAGGAAGAAAAAAATGGAAAAAATTTTTAAATTAAAAAGAATTCTTCATTTTCATTTCTCTTCCATATCTATAATATATTATGCAACATTTGCCAGAAGAAAAAAATAATAAATGAAAATTTTTCATTATAGGGTGACTTGAGCACATTTTTCTTACGGGCCGCAAGAGCCGGACATCTCCAAAGAGTACTCGAGTACCTCGATATGGGGGTCGATATCAACGCCTCGAACGCGGTAAGTGCAAAGATAATTATTTTAATTGTTGAGTGAGCCGCAGGGCGACCCTAAAGACAAAATCTGGAGACAAGGGAACGAGGCCTAACTTTCGGTCTACTCTGTCCTTTGCAACACATAGTTTGTAATGCGGGCGATACGAGGGTGTCACAGGAAGTATTCGGATGAATAGTGCCCGAAGGGCTGAAAGGGGCTTCCAGGATTCACCTCGGCGTTTCTTTATGCATCACTCGACTCCCTTTTACGCTACATGATACTTCGGTTATCACTTTCTGGCTTTTATTCATAGGCACATATGCCTGAGTGCGCGCGCCAACCCACACACGCGTTGTCCCTTTTACTCACCTAACCCTACCTCCTTCTTCATTCTTTCCGAGACTGAAAGCTCATCGTCTTATTGAACGCGAAGGGAGAGCCTAATGAGAATTTTAAATGATTTAAGACATTTTATCATATCTTTCCAATTTCGCGGTTTTTATAACTTAATTACATTACTTGCGATAATAAAGTTCAATTATCGTCTTTAATGATTTCTACCTTATTAAATTATAAGTACAAAGCTTTATTTTTACAATTACTATTGTTTTGTATATTTGCACTTTTTATCTTATAAACAAATGACAAATATATTAACAGTAGTAGAAGTTAATTAAACATTATTTTTATTAAAATTAACGTATATTAGTAAATTATTAATGTATCTATTAACAATTATGTTTATATATGTCACAGTTCAGTTTAGGATTCATTTTTTAAGAGCAAACGGTACGACTGTACTTTTTTTTTATATTACAATTCATTAATTTTAATTAATAAAAAGAAATAAAGTAATATTAATTAAATTTTCGGGTTTTATTAATATAAAGTATGTAAAACATTCATAGCAGCGTTTAACATTTTTATTATTTTTCAATTTAATATTTTATTGATATTTTTTCAGAATATATTGATTATATAAATATTCTTGTATAAAATTTAATTCAAAGGCATAAAACAATAAGGAAATATATCAATATAAATAATATTTTATATATTTAACAGAAATTTTCACATTATTGCTAAAAAATATTAAAAAATTTATAGATAATGTTTGGTACAATTTAATTTTGAAATACAAAAGTGTATACAATGTACATTTTTACATCAAATTGTACATAGAATTTATGGTTTTGAAAGTAATAAAAAGGAATGCTGTATAAATGATCTAATTGTGAAATAAAATGAAAGACTAATAAGCCTAAAATTGACTAGTGGCTATTTTTCCAGATTACAGATGAAATTGTTTACATTGTAACGTATAAATCTTGCATTTGAAAAAGATTCGATTGTAATGATTGTAATAAACAATTTAAATTTAAATCACTTGTACCATAATATATTAAAAATAAATGTATTTGATATCCACACATTTTATTATTGAATGCTTACGAATCCCAATGGTTATTTGATTATTTAGAGTAATTATGTCGTTTTTCCTAAAACTTTAGAAATATATTATATATATATATATACGTGTGTGTGTATGTGTGTGTATATACGTGGGTTTTGTGTGTGTGTGTGTGTGTGTGTGTGGGTGTGTAATTAATATTTGAACTAATCTAGAAAGCTTATAATTGATTAGAAATCATAGTAAATTAAAGTTAATTGTTAAAAAATAGAATTTTAAAAATTCGAAACTTAAAATATATTGTTGCACCTGATTAACTTCTATTAATTCAAAATCAAAATGAACCTATTTTTAACGAAAGTCATTTTAATTAAGAATTAATTACGATTCATTTGCAATATTATTTGCTAAGAAAATCTTATTTTTGCAGTACATATTTTTATGGAATATCTGAAAGAATTTCTTTGAATTTCTTTTTAGAATGGACTAAATGCCTTACACTTGGCGGCGAAAGATGGTCACTTGGAAATTGTAAAAGAACTACTCACGCGTGGAGCAATCGTCGATGCCGCGACAAAAAAGGGAAATACCGCACTACACATCGCCTCTCTTGGTAAGTTTAATCGAGAGTACCTTACCTTAATATCACAGATTCCACATACTTTTCTAATTTCATTCTATGCGAGGAAGATTATTAGAATTTTGTCGATTTTAGTAATTTTTGCATTTGTACCTTTTTTCTTTTTTTTTTCTTTGCTTAAAAGTAATGTTTATTATCGATTATGTTAATTGAGTAAAAATAAATGTAAATATTCAACTATGGAAATGTGAAATATTAAAAAGGAAAAGCAACGGTAGCTCATATAGGCTTTTTTAAAACGTGTTTATGTTAAATTGAGATTCGAATTACGAGTCAATTATATCTTCAATTAGATGCTAAATGCCATACGATTAAGAATTCATTATTGTTAATTTAAATAATTAAGATTGCTAATTACCACTTGCTATTCGTACAATTTATGATTCCAAACGTATTTTTTAACGGAATAAATAAATTTTACATTACTAAATAACAAAACCTCATGTATTATGCATATGGAGTTCTGAAATTAAGCATATCTACTTTATTTACTTAGTAATAATTTATTGACGTCGTTTGTGTATTTCAGCTGGCCAAGAGGAAGTTGTGCAGCTATTGGTTCAAAGCGGTGCATCAGTTAATGCACAATCTCAAAACGGGTTTACAACATTATATATGGCGGCGCAGGAGAACCATGACTCTGTCGTTAAATTTCTTCTTAACAAAGGAGCTAATCAATCACTCGCCACTGAGGTACTATGCTTCTTTCTACATCGTCCTACGAATAATTACATTTTTGTTTTTCTATATACGTACACAATTGTTAAATATAATTAGAATGATGAATTCAATTAGCGCAGTCGGGGATTTGAGGGAAAGGCATAGGTTTTTTACATACATTTAAATATGTAGCTTACACGAGTCTTAATCCACGACGTAATATTAATGCACGTTAATACAAATATTTATTTAATTATTCAAGATGTGTTTTAAATGATGTTATGATTATATACGTTATTGCTTCAATAGACAAAATAATTATCATCATTGGCCATTAAGTTTAGAAATTTAGTATGCATTCAACGTAACGTAGAAATATCTTTTACTTTACATGCAAATGTAATAGAGGCTTATCGATTCAATATTTTTTACTATACGTTTGTTTGTTTACTAACAGTATTAACAGTAAAATTATTTTATATCAATGAATTAGCTACGTCTCTATCTTTTCAATATTCAATGATATATAATGATTGTAAAAGTTTTAAAAAAAAATGTAGATAACAAAGTCCGAATTGATGCAGATTTAGAATAAAATGGAATATTTCAATACTACATGCAGCCACACGATAAACTTTAGAATTTAATGTACATCAATGCATAATTATAACATGTTAGCAAATATAATTAAAAATATGTACAAACTTTTATTTATCAAAGTATTAATATTTACATTTGCATTTCATTCTGTGTCAAATTCAAGAAATTTATCAGTTAATTTAATTTTTGCAGTAGGCACATAATTTTTTTTTTGCTTTTAAATATCATTAAATGGAAATAATCTGGCTTATAGTTTTATGCTTAGGCTTAAGATTTTAATTTAATTTAAGGTTTCTGTTAATACTAATTCAGTAAATATTGATAAATATTCGTTTGTACTGCTATCTTTTTGTACAATTATCGTATAAAAAATAATGTTTAGTCATATTAAATTTAACAAAGTATGTTTGCTTTTTTTTAATTTTTAGGATGGTTTTACTCCGTTAGCTGTAGCAATGCAACAAGGACATGATAAAGTAGTCGCTGTTCTTCTTGAGAATTGTACGAGAGGGAAAATTAAATTACCCGCTTTGCACATAGCCGCAAAAAAAGATGATTGTAAGGCAGCAACCCTACTTCTGCAGGTCTGTAAATAAAATATTACAGTATATATTGGTAAATAAAATGATCGACTAGTTTGTTTATATATATATATATATATATATATATATATTTTGTTAAAATGTTCTATTAAAATATTCATACATAACGAATTTTTATTTATATATATATATATATATATATATATATAAACACACACACACACACACACACACACACACACACACACACACACACACACAGAGACAGACAGACAGATACGCATATGCATATATATAAATATGTAATGTTTATTGAATGATAGAGCGATCACAACGTGGACGTGGTGTCAAAAAGTGGTTTTACGCCTCTTCACATTGCCGCGCATTACGGCAACGAAAGAATTGCTTCGATACTTTGCGATAAGGGAGCAGATGTTAATTTTGTAGCTAGGGTAAGTACACAAGATTTCACTTTCGAATTTCAATACTAGGAAATAAACATCTTCTAATAGGTAGATTATTCAATTTCAGCACAATATTACTCCAATGCACGTAGCAGCTAAATGGGGAAAAATAAAAATGGTAAATTTCCTTATAAGTAAAGGAGCACAAATAGCAGTAAGAACTAGGGACGGGCTTACTCCTCTTCATTGTGCGGCTCGTTCCGGACATCACGAAGTAGTCGATATTCTTGTTGAGAAAGGAGCCCCAATTGGTTCCAAATCGAAAGTACGTACCGATTATTCATCAATAATGCAATATATTTAGCGTATAAGGAATTAATCGAGATGTTGTTTCGTAATAGATTACGAAAAAATCATCAATAAAAAAAGAAAGAAAAAAAATATAATTAAAAATTAACGAACGAAAAATAACTCACAAATGCAATGATAATTTATTTCTGTCACATTGAGAATATTTTAACGAATGTTTAAACGAGACTATTCCTGTATTTTGTTCAAGTTCCAAGCAAATCAATGAAATTCCAGCGTCTCCCGCGATTCACAATCTAAAAATATATATGCAGGCCAATATTGATAATAAGGATTCTTTAAAAACAATTTGATCATACGATTAAATGAACTTGTATTTTCGTCACAGAGTGGCTTGGCACCGTTGCACATGTCAGTACAGGGCGATCACGTCGACGCAACGAGAATCTTACTTTATCATCGAGCTCCGGTTGACGAAGTCACGGTGGATTACCTCACGCCATTGCACGTAGCTGCGCACTGCGGTCACGTTCGCGTGGCCAAATTACTCTTAGATAGAAATGCGGATAAGAATGCAAGAGCTTTGAACGGATTTACGCCTCTTCACATCGCTTGTAAAAAGAATAGATTTAGAATCGTCGAATTATTATTAAAATATAAGGCCAGCATCGAAGCAACCACGGAGGTAAGTGTCGCAGCATCTCATCACCCATTCCGCGTCACACACGCTCGCTTTCATGACGAGAGCTTTCAAAATAAAATCTTTCGTCCCCCGACACCCCGATTACAACAGTACTATCGCTTAACAATTGTGCATTGTCTGTACCATTTAGTCTGGCTTGACGCCTTTGCACGTTGCGAGTTTCATGGGCGGCATGAATATCGTCATATACCTGTTGCAACACGATGCTAATCCCGACATACCGACAGTACGAGGTGAAACACCTTTGCATTTAGCTGCTAGAGCGAATCAGACTGACATTATTAGGATACTCTTGAGGAATGGAGCTCAAGTCGATGCTCATGCCAGGGTAGATGAATTTCATTAATCCCTAATTTCTTTTAATTTCTTTTTTTAATTGTTTTTCCACTCATGCTCGAATAACACGGAATCGTGATTATTAAATGCGCGGTTATTTTTGCCACATAGGAAGAGCAAACGCCGCTTCATATTGCATCGCGTTTGGGTAACGTCGACATTGTCATGCTCTTACTCCAACACGGCGCTACCGTTGATGCAACCACAAACGATTCGTACACATCTCTTCATATAGCCGCGAAGGAAGGTCAAGAAGAGGTAAGCCGCTTTTGTCTTTAATGTCGGATTACAAATTAAGTCGTTTTAGCCACGTGCTAGCACTGAAAATCGATCTATTACGCTGCAGGTGGCGTCGGTATTATTAGAAAATGGCGCTTCGCTTACCGCACCCACCAAGAAAGGGTTCACACCTTTGCACTTAGCTGCTAAATACGGTAATATGAATGTAGCTCGACTTTTGCTGCAGAAGAACGCTCCAATTGACGCCGAAGGAAAGGTAAATTATCTTCGAGGCTCGAAAACCTTCTAAATCCAGGCTACGCTATAATCGCCATTATTTTATGTTTCTACCCGCACAGAACGGCGTGACTCCACTTCATATGGCCGCCTATTACGATCATCAAAACGTGGCGCTACTTCTCCTCGATAAAGGTGCCTCACCGCACGGTATGGCCAAAAACGGCAATACTCCTCTCCACATCGCTGCTTGGAAGAACCAGGTGAGTTCATCGATCAAGGATACGCGGCACTTTAGACTATTATTAGCAATTTCGCGCACTCACCGCTATTAATTTATATCTCTTTAATTCTCTACAGATGGACATTGCCACCACGCTCTTGGAGTACGGTGCAAAAACTAATGTCGAATCTAAAGGTGGCTTCGTGCCCATTCACCTGAGTGCCCTTGAGGGTCACACTGATATGACGACCTTACTAATCGAGCACAAAGGCGATTTGAATCACAAGGCAAAGGTACGTCGACAAAACACAATTCCCATAATCTCTTTCTCACGCTTTCTATTTTATCTTTATATTTATCTTACTGAAAAGTTAGCGCGTATCTATGAACTCGATACTTTTTAGAATGGAATTACGCCAATTCACTTCTGTGCCCAAGAGGATCACGTCAACGTTGCCTCTATTCTCGTTAAAAATGGCTCTCTCATCGATGAAAAAACTAATGTAAGCAAAGAAAATTTGTTATTACATTTATATTGTTATACAGCTTTATTCAACGCACTCCTTATATAAAAGCAATTGTCGTAAGCTCACTATTGTTAAATCAATGCCGGAAGACTCGCGCATAATGAGCAACTTAGGCGCACAGGTGCAAATTCATTTACAATGCATATATAATCGCAGACATAACTGTTGCTGATAACTCCACTGAAAAGTCCCCTTTAAACTACAACAATATATTAATAAATCCCAGCTAATTTCCTCCCGGACTGTTTTACCCCCCCCCCTCCCAAGCGTATTACGTTCATTAAGCTCATTAATAACGAGGCTCCCATTTGTTTGCTCCACTCTCACTTTTCCCGCCTTTTCCTACGCGAAGCTCGTTAGAAAAAAAAAGAAAAAAAATGAAAAAAAGAAAATAGTCGATCCACGGGAATGATAATTCGAAAGTTATGCTGTTTCAATTAAGAGCATAGCGGCTCATTTTGGTCAAGCCGCGATGGTCCGATTCCTATTGAGCTCCGGTGCCTCCGTCGACAGTAGAACCAATGTGGGCTACACGCCTCTGCATCAGGCAGCTCAACAAGGCCACACACAAGTTATAAATCTGTTGCTGGAGAACAAGGCCCAGCCGAACGTCGTCAGCCACGTAAGCACAATTAATCAATTCCTCCGTCTTTCCTCATTTGCTAATCTGTCGAAAATTGCTGCCGCGTCATTTCTATTTCTTTCGGTAATAACGCTGCACTCAATTGATCCGCTGTGTAGTTTCGAATGATGGAAGTATCGTACAACATCTCCAGCGTTTATTAACACGAGAACGCTCTGCTGTAAATTTTCGCCACTTTGTGTCTTTACGATTTGTGGAGTAATACCGCGTGCAAAATAATTCTATCGCAAGGTGTTTTAATATGTCTATTAAAAATATAATGTCTTTTGTAATTCGTATAAGAATATATATATATTAGTTTATTTTAAGACGTGGAGTTTTTTTTTTTTTTTTTGCTACATAGTTAAAATCCCTACGATCGCTTCCGTGCAAACTTTTGCTTACCTCAATATTTTCGTTCGGAAAAGTAAATCAGTGTTTTTCAACTTCCAAGAATTCAATTCTTTCCCTGTAATTTAAATACGAATATATTATTCTAATTATAGAACGGCTATACGGCACTAGACATCGGACAAAAACTCGGCTACATAAGTGTTGTCGAAACGTTAAAAGTCGTAACGGAGACTGTCATCACAACAACCCACACAATCAACATCGAGGAGAAATACAAAGTTCAAGTACCAGAGTATATGCAAGAGGCATTTATGAGCGACAGCGAGGAAGAGGGCGGCAAGTTTCTCTTTTATTTATTTTTTTTTTTTGTTGCATGAATGCAAATGAATTAATTGCTAAATGCTTTTGTCGGTCGTACGCCATGCACAAGTCTATTATCTTCGTTTATTCCAGTCGCTTATCGTTTATCGGGTCTCACAAGCATAATATTTAATTGGCAAGGATTTTCAAATTTAAGTCCTACTTTATTTCTTACTTTTAGCAATAAAATAGTAGAGATTGGTATAGAGATATCGATAACTCATAATTATTACACTTTTATGAAAAAGGCATTTTAACATTATTCGCATGCTTTTTAATGTTACTGCATGCCGAGTACTTAATAATTCCCACTTGAAATTGAATGTTAATATTCTTGATATTCTTTTGTTATCTCCTTATTACTCTTCTGTATTTATTTGTATATTTATTTTAATTACAACGTACGCTCCCGTCCTAGTGATACAAAAAAATTTCATCAGTTTGCCCTCCCTATAATATTAGCCTTTCAAGTATTTTAAAGATACATTGAGAGCAGAAAACTATCTTACCTTAGTTAAATTTGCGAAGAAAAATTGACGATATATAAAAGCCACAACCACTTACACACACACACACACACACACACACACACACACACACACACACACACACACACATAACATAAGTTAAGAAATATTTAGTATCTTACGAGTATTTTTTTAATTTATTCTTGAAGTATTTTCATAGCGAGATTTCATTCTTAGATTTAGTATTCATTACGTTCGACAATATTTTTTCAGTTGCTTGTTATTATTGCGTACGTGTTTGCATATTTTTGGCAAGAGCATGTTCTTAGCGGATTTTCACTCGGTTGCTACATTCAGATAAGAGAGAGAGAGAGAGAGAGAGAGAGAGAGAGAGAGCATTAATTATCCATTCAATAGACCGATGTTTTAGATTTTTACCGATGTAAAAATAAATTCGTATTTTAATTAGAAATATTGAAATTAGCAACCAGGTGAATGCAGAGCTTTGAAGCAACGATAATGTCAATGTTGAGCAGTTTAAAATAAACGCTTGTAACAAACAATAAAAGAATGTAAAACTTTTTGGGGTATTGATGAAAAATAACCTTCCTGGGTGACGTGCGGCATATAGGTGGTGATGAGTTCAGCGTGGCAACCATGAATGTGTACGGGAAACCGCCTCACGCGCAACACGTGTACCTCCCTTCCTACTACCAGGGCCAAATGACCTACACTCGTAAGTTGTCTGTCATGTCTCGCACATTCTTCTTCTTCTTCTTCTTCTTTTACGTTCTCCATTATTCTCACACTTAAGTTTACTTTTTTTGATTGATTGGTCACCCGACTACCCTTATACGCATCACTATTTCTTCTGTTATATATGTATTAGATAACATTATCGTCTTTATTTAATTGTATATTTTTCTTTCGTTGTCCATTCTATTATGATGATATGATTTTTGATAAATTTAGTATATCTCATTCATTCATTGCATGTATATATATATATTATTTATTTACTTATTTATAAAAGAAATCAATGGAAAAAAAAAAAATATATATATATATGAATACGTATATGTATATACATATATGTATATGTATATGTATGTATATATTTATTTATTTACTTATTTATTATAGAAATCAATTAAGTATTACGAACGTTACAGGTTTTACAAATTTATATCGCACAATACTTTGTTGCTTTAATTTGCTCTGATATTATTAATTTTTTTAACTTATAGCTCACTCCTCTATTCTGTACTATAATTATTAAGGAATACATCATATTATTTTAAGATACATTTTCACATTTCCTCATCACATTACTAGACATAATTGTTTTATTTTTTATTCCAAACGAAATAAAATTTTTTCTCAATTACAATACTCAATAGGTAGTACTATATTGTGAGATTAATTTCGTAGATGGATCATAACACGAAGTGATAATGTAATTGATTTATCGTTCAAAATACGTATTAATTATTTTATTTTATTGCCTATGTCATACTTAAAAATAAACAGATTCATCAGCTAATCAAAATAGAATACACAAATTTCATAGAATTCATTATTTAAATCTAATGTGTCTATTAAATCAAAAAGAAAACTATCCGAGTGTTCCTTTAATAATACTTTTGGATATATAAACACACAAATGTGAGCAATATGTAGTAAAAAATATTTGCATAACAGTAGTCGATGTTATCCGAAAATATATCGCAATCCAAATTTATGCGATTTTCGATGGATAGTGAAAAGAAAATATAAGACAGCGAGCCCGTGCATCATTAACGAATTAGAAAGAAGAAGATCGATGCATGTGAACCAAATAAAGGAAAATAAATAATAAATAATCGAGTGTACGCGCGAGCTTCGAGTGGGCTGGTAATATATAACGATTATGAAGTAGTCAATTTGCTTTTGACCTTAGGGCGTGCGATGCTTACATAGGTAAGCGACGATATATCGCGAACGATTGGGAATTGTTCGGAAGACCACGAGGCGCGTGCGCGCGCACGCGCGCGGTTGTGTGTTACGTGTAATTCAATGTTAGCGCAGCATTAGATAATTGGTGCGGAAGGAATGTGCTTCCCAAGAAAAGGAAATAAAAAACAATCGAAAATGGTTTCGCATTTGCGGCACTCGCGTTCTATTTTCAAGAGTGATACGATCCCGGGCATTATCCTGCCCGAGGCTCTTTAATCCACATCGTCAAACTTTTTGTCATCGTTATTCTTTTCACTCCCCTTCCGTCTCTCTCTCTCTCTCTCTCTCTCTCTCTCTCTCTCTCCCTCTCACTATTTACTTGGCAAAGCAATTAACACATGTAGAATGCTCTGATCGCTCTTCTAAGAATCTTATTACAATCAATTGTCCGCGATTACCCCTCCTCTCACACTTTTCACGCTAATAAGACCGGGGCTGATCTACAGTTTGGCCTTTCCCCCATAAAATCGATTTTAAATATCAGCGTAGTTTATTACAAAAAAGTGCTCTCCATGCCCGTAGGTCTCATCGGCGTCTATAATTAAAGACACAATTTGGAAAGAGCCAATGCTGAATGTACGTGTCGTGAATTAGTCGCCACACACGAAGAAACGTCGCGATCCTGGTTCTCATCTCGTATCATCGAGTACATTTATTAGCGCCGCTCGCTTATGCGACTCTATTTCGCGGTCTCCACTTCCTCCTCGTGTCTTTGACAATACCCCGGGCGCGAAAAGGCTGCTACATCCCATCTAATTCATCAACTTTCATTACTCCTTCACTCCCCCCACCCGCCCCATCCACAACCTCTAACCCCGAATCATCCGCACTGGTTAGCTTTTAAGTGCTGCCCAGCTCAAAATGCGCTTCCTACTTACGGCTCGCTATTGAATTTCGCGGAAGACCGGCGGCGGGTCCCATAAAGGCATTTGTCAATGCTCAACGTCGTCGACATTACTGGCGCACGCTACTTTAGCACTTGGTTACATCGTTGCGACGTACGTAATACACCGGATTAAATGGGATAGCAATAAAATGAGAACGCAAACGCAAATAAATAAACGCCACGAGTTTCTGAATGTGCATTATTCTATTGTTTCTCCTTTTTGTTTTTTTTTCTTCTTTCGAATCGGGAGTCTCGTAGATAAATACGATATAAAGCGAAAATAAACTTATTGTTCCACAATATTACGACGTGAGTAACGGCAAATTATGTATCGAGGTAGCGGCCGCAATTAAAAGCTCGCGCGATAAGCCAAATGGCTTTTACTCTTTATTACGAATCGAACTCGAGATTCGGCGAAGGAAGCTCTTGGAACAGCGAGTTTGTGAGCTGTTGTCGAGCCACGGCACATCGTCAACGATGATCTTCCCGCTCTGAAAAAGCACGTGCGGTCCCCCTCACCCACCCCTCCCGCACACACGCTAGCACACACAGGCACGCACGGGCGCACACCGTCCCGGCCTGTCATCCTCCTCGAATTCCTCAGCTGCCACCTCCACCTCCCCCTACGGCTACCTGTTACGCAAGTGGCGTGCACTCAGCCTTGTTCCATGGGTCTCGTTTTGCGCGACGTGGCTCAGTTAGCCATACGTTGGCTGCAAGCCAAAACCAACGCTCCATACCACGAAAATACTCGTATTTATGTAACGCAGCTCGAGGCGGGCGGGGGCGCTCTAGTCTATTTTTTTCTTTCTCTTCATTCTCCTTCCCTCGCCGGTCACCACCTCCACCCCTCCCCTCCCGCCATCTATCAATCGATCTTCGTTCATTGTGTACTTACGTGTGGAGCGATCGATTGGCGCGGGCAAACCTACGAGCGAAAAGCACACAATAAGCTTGAGACGGGCGCTCGCGAGTCGCCGATAACGATCCGGTTTTGCTCGTAAAGTGCGCTATCGGACTTCGCATAAAGTCGAGCGTTAATGAGCCCGCGCGTCGTAAAAAGCCCGATTTCCATTTCCACCGCGGCCGCGATCCATCCCCCGCTGTCCGCTTGCTCGGGCTTAAATAACATACGAGTGATCGAGAGAGAGAGAGAGAGAGAGAGAGAGAAGCGAGCGCGGGAAGGTTGTGTGTTTCTATTATAAAATTGGTGATTCAACGGACGCACGCCGACATTTCTAGTCGAATCGCGCTACCGAATCGATCGTGTTATCGAGAGTCGCTGTTCCTGCCCTTCCCGTCGCTTCTTACCTTGTCGCAGGCATGCGGGAGGCAACCAGAGAATACTAGTAGTGATCGTTGCCCTTCGACCCCGCTTTTCCTCTCGCGAGTGCGGCGTTACGTAAAGGAGTCGCGGGTGTGCATGTAAATAAGTCGAGAGGAGAAAAAGAAAACGGATAGACACCTCGAGTATCCTTAGGAAGTAAACAAGCCGCGTTGTGTAATCGCTTCAGCATCTGTCCGATGCGCTGCGGAGGCTGCCAAGGACGAAGACCGATCCGCGAGTGTCCGAGCGGTTCTTGGCGCGATGGCGTCGAGGCAACCGGAGGTGCGCCAGCGCAAGAAAAAGAGCAAGAGTCCCAAGGACGAAGCCAAGGGCCTCGTACCCAAGGATAACAGGGGCAGTAAGATGGCATGCTGCGGGTGTGCGCGCAACAGGAACAGCGACGTGCCCAGTAGGTTTCGCCATAAATAAAACAACAGCGAGCGCACTTGTCGCTCTCTCGCTACGTAAGAGCAATACTTGGCAGCGCCCGTGAGCCAAAGTTCAAGTTCGGCTGCTAATCTTGTCGCTCTTGTCACGCGCCACTTCTCCACCCGACGCCCCTAATTAGTCACGCTTTGCGAGAAAAGTCGTTGAAGGGAGGCAAGGGTGATTGAGAGGTTGAGACGAATCGCGAGAGTCAATTTTGTCATATCCGCGGATAAGTTTCCGCGTCGATTTTATTAATTAGCATTGGGCGAGTCCGTCCGTGGCGGATTTGGGTCGTGCGCAATCCACGATGCAGAAAGAAGCGCCGATGAGCGAATCTCGGATGCCAAATGCAAGTGCGGTACTTCCTTATGGCGCGACGTGCGCGGCATTAGCGCCGATAAAATTTTCACGAGCTGATTAGGGAACTGATGTCATCGCACAATAGATTACTCGGCAATGCGCCGTTTTATTTTGCCGAGGATTTTTCGCGACCCCTTGACGTGCGACGCTTCGCCGATATTTCCTTGCTAATTCTAATGATGAAGCTGCTGATTAATGGCGCGCGTCACGTACTGATTTCTATAATAACAATAAAATCATTGCCATTTTACAGGAAACTGTGAACGTGATCAAATAATTTTTATTATGCGTTAATTAAGAGTAAAGTCAAATGAATCTAAGGAATTTGGTAAGCACGTTTAAGTAATAAGTGCTTAAATGACTTGAGGCAATCGTTTGACCAATCCTCAGGCGAATTTCATTTGCCTAATTGTGATGATAGCGTATTAGATAAGTTTTTCCTTGGCTGATTTGATTTCATTCATTTTAGTCGATCGAATTTCGGTCATTTTATCGCTATTTCGAAAACGCCTATTTCTCTGATTGGTGACAAACTTACTAAGAGGAACTACATTGAAATTTAAAGGAATTATTATGAAAATAAAAGTCTTTTTATTCATTTATCCGCGTTGCGAAGAATTTCGCATGAAGTGCATTAAAAGCAGCACAAAAATAAATAGGAAGTAATGACACTAAAAATATTTCACTGAATACAATAGTGAAGTATATTCATTTTCTAAATAGATCAAATGGTAATTACTGTTATTAATGAAAAGGCAAAATGAACTCTGACATGTCTTTAAATTGTATAAAAATAAACATTGTAATTTTATTCATTAAATACTTCATACAAAATCTTATATTTCGAAAATAAATTTTTTTATTTTTTAACGTTAATTACGAATAAATATAAGGTCAGTTGAAATGCTCACATTGTAGAGTGTCAATTAAGGTAAGACTAATAATTTACATTCTCTCTCGTTATAATAAGAAATTTTTAGATATTTTCACGAATTGTTTTAATGGTGAATTATATTAAAGCTATTACTGATAAGAATTGCATTTAATTAAAATAAACATAAATGTTACAATGGCTGGTACAAAGCTGAACATAATATGCTGCATTTTAAATATTTATCAAATTGGATTAGCAATAAAAAAAATATATTACAAACCATAAACATCTGAAACAATTTCATATACAACAATTCAAACGTATAAAATATAGGTTATTAGCTTTTATCTCTTGGATAATTTTTCGTTAAGTTAAAACAAATCAAAGCACCCGTTGGTAATTAATTTTTCATTCACGAGAAATTGATTTCCCTGACGTTACTACGCCCATTCTCCGTAATAAAGCCTTGGCCGTGAATTTGTCCCTGACTATTTCCTTAGGAATAAAAAAAAGTAGACGCATCATGGTTGAGCGAATATACGAACGGAATATAAACAATTCGTGGTTTTGGATTTATGCACGCCAGAGCGCACCCCTAAGGCGTGTCTAATAAATCTGGGTGTCGATGTCCTCATGGCATTAATGTTTCCACGGGCACGAGGCCGGAGTCCATCGCGGAACAAAGTGTCAAAAATATCTTCAAGGATAATCATCGGAGATTGGGCGTGTGCTTAAAAATAGATCTATTCTGCCGGCATAGCTTATCGAGAGAGAGAGAGAGAGAGAGAGAGAGAGAGAGAGAGAGCGGGGGGAACTTCTCGATGGCCTAATGAAGGTCTCGTGAGATGCAGAGCAGCTTAACGCTAATTCGATTAAAGCCGCTCGAGATCTCAAAAATAACCAATAGAAGCCGATGGTACAACCCCGAATTATTCGAATCTCTCTTTATCGGTCTGCTCTGCTTTACGTTCGAGGATGATTACCTCGGGATTCTGAGTACTTTCACTTGTATGTATAGGTTAACATGAGTTCAGGCACTTGATTAAAAATACACCATAAAGTTCGATGTGCAGCGCATGTGGCTTATCGCCAGACTTTTTCACTCAGCACTTGACTTTGCGCGAATTGTGCTACGATAATCGTGTCGCGTCAATGCAGGCCAACAACGTGCAAAGCGCGAAAGAAAACACCTGCGGATACTCGCGGAAAAGCACGCTCAATCACAATGTTTACTCCTGGTTTCTTGTGTCGCGTTGTGGTCTACCACCACTGTTGCCACTCGGAATATCGAGTTCGAGTTTGCTTTTTATAGATTAATTGATACCCGAAGGTTCTTTGGTTATTACGTTGTCGACTTTATAGCCCATCGATGAGCTGGAATTCTTATCATCTATTATTAATGATTTAAATGTTCGGCAATATCGCAACTCTCCAACTCCCTTTTCTCGGCCAAAAATGCTACTCTATTTATAGCACATTTTTAAGGGAAAAATACGGCTTCTAGAACAGTGCGAATAATCAAATTGACACGATAAGGGTTTATAGATTTTATTTAATTTTCTTTGCTTTTTTTAATTATTATTTCGAACGATTCAATTATTATTGGTTGCATTATTATACATCCGATAGATTTCTTGCGTTATGTTAAAATGCAATCAGCAAATCAATAATGCCAAGCGTATATTACGAATTTTAATTGAGACACAAATTATCTTACATTAGTATGGATAGGCAAAATCACAATTAAAACTATCTTATTTGTTAAAATCGACTCGCATTGTAATAAACATAACTTATTTCGGATATTGAATTTCCATTTACTTTACGTGGTAATGAATTTTCAATTTACTCCATTCACAGGCGAAGATCCAATGCTCAATGATCTACAGCAGTATCAATATATGACGGGCGACGACATGAAATCCATGGGCGATGATTCGATGAGAGTCAACGTAACCGACGATGAAAGAGATAATCGACACTCCGGAGGTAAGGCACTTTGAAAAATAAAACAATTGACTCGACAAATATTAATGACTTTGTAGGACTTGCAGGAGCTTTAATTATCACGGGCTTACCTTCCGTTTGTAAAATGTAAACTGCATTTAATTTTTGATTGTTGTTAAATTATTTGATTTCTAGCACCTACTATAACCGAAATGATAACCAAAGAAAGCTATAATCGACAAAATGCAACGAAACCAGACAACATTGATATCAACAGACATCCAGTTCACGTTGGGTAAGTTATTTGAAAATCAATACACATTTAATGTTTTCTCAACTTGAAATATTCAAAAAAGAATGTTTTTTTTTTTAAAGAAAAAATTATTGCGTCATATTATATTATCTAGAGCTGTATCTATAAAATATGCTTAAAAGTAAAGTCTGAAAGAATAATTATAATAATGTATAAATTATATTCACATAAAATACCTTATATGCTTCAATAAAAACTAAATTCACAATTCGTATATTTAATTGTAGTAGTAATAACAACCTTTGATAACATAATAAATAATTTATACGCTCAATCAAATATGGGCATGATACCAATATTCTATGAGAGCATAACTTTAAAAGTATCATCAAATCAATTTGTTAACAACATGAAAATATAGCATATACCAAGTATATTGAATTGCCCAAGTTTGTTGAGAAGTAATTACTTCAAAATAAAATGCCATTTACATAAATGTACCAAGCCCATAATAAGTAATAATGAGTTTTTAAAATAAGCGATTGATTGGCTTTTATTAAAACAATAATGTTGTGTATTATAGTACGTATGGCATTGGTGTATGTATTGATGAAAGATTGCTTGCTATTATTAACAAACTTAGTCTTATGTAAATCTTACGATAGTAATATTAACAAAGTTTGGTAAAGGAATTTTCAAGTATAATCTTTCTAGTAGGTTGAAATCGCAGAGTAATACTCCTATTCTCAAGTCGAGCGTTTTATACTTAAAAGAAATTCTTAAAAAATGCTAGTTTTTTAAGGACACTATCTGCACATTCTTTTAGATTGCTTATTGAAATTATTGAGTGATATATCGAGTGATCCTTTCTCTCTCGCATGATTCTATTTAACATCCTTATTAGTTAGTCGAAATCAATAGATATTGAAAAGAATAAAAATAATTATATTATATATATATACATGTTTATAGATAAAAAAAAGTATTATTTTTATGCGAGTGAAACATATATTCTTTCTCGACGTCTATGTATCGGAATAGAAGATTACGTAACATAGAAAAATTTGTACTTCTAAAGCTCACAATTTGCGGTCTAAAGATTTTTTTTTATCATTGACATTAGAAAAGGTTTAAAGCAATTCATTTTTTGATGCTGCTATTTTATTCTTAACGAAAACATAATATTTCTCATTGTAGTGTTGAAAGCCCTTTAAAACTTGGTACAATTTCGTTGTCACTCTAAACGACGTCAGAGGGGCGGGGGGAGGGGGCTAACGCGTTTTCCTGGTCTTGTTCATTCGGTAGTATTTATTGACTTATTGTTTTCACGCAACTTCATTATCACCATATTCACATTGCTCATCATTCATTGTTTTTTAGTAGCACATAGAGTTTGTTCCTCACAATGTATAATAATACTAAGTAATAACACGTTTTATAAAATATAAATAAAAAGAAATTAAAACAACACCATATATCTATACATTCTGCACGAAGTTGAAAAAAAAAACAACAACAACAACAACAACAACAACAACGATAAATATATAAGTAAATAAAGAAAGTAAGCATGAACACGGTTAGAGCTACCATCGATAATCACACGCAGGTTCTGTTCTGAAATTAGTGCGTCACTAGAGTTCTTAAATACGTCACTGGCTGCCCTCGGTATCGTGCCAAAAGGACAAGGAATGTGGAGGGACAGGTACACCTACCGTTTTTTATACTACTTCTTTTTTTTTTTTTTTTTTTTTTCTTTTTACAAAAAATATATGATTACAATTTCTTAAATTTGGTAAAGTACCATCAATTTAAAATGAGTAAGGCCCTTTAATATCTAATAAAAATATTTAACTATTGTCTAATAAGCTACGCTTACGCTCTTATTAAAACCTAATTTTTACACTAATTCTCAGTTATGTGTATATTTCTTCGTATATTTCTTATATTTTATCTTTTCAAATTAATTTTTCAATTCACTAAAAACAATATCTATTATAATTTTTTTATTCCTCGTAGTTCACATACCATTTTCGTATTTCAACTAATTGTAAAGACTTTTGGAAGAATCAATGCCGTTGATTTTCGTAACATGCCGATATAAAATGTATCGTCGATATTACATTTATTGTTTGTCCGTATTCTGTAAACTAGCTAGACATATTTGTTTTTCAATCGATGCTAAACGTCTTCTTAAAATTTAAAAATATCAATAGTCTTGAATTTGTGAGTTTCTCATTAAGTAAAAAAATTATCGATCCAAGAAAATTTTAAATTAATTAGTTGTAAAATATGAGAATTATATTTAATCGGCGACCCTGTTATCTCAATTTCATATCAATTTTAGTTTTGCCAATTAGTCAATTCTACATGCCCAATTATTGTGTGCTCTCTTGTGCCCATCGTCCGTGTATTGTAAATGAAACAAAATTATCTGTTCTGTGTATTGTTTAAAGTCTATATCGTTTTTATTTTATAGCCATTAGCTTTCAATTTTATTTTCCCTGAATGTAACGACAGAATTTTAGCCGTGAGAGAAGCGTAATTAGAGTGACTTTATTCGTCTGAGATCATGCACAGTGTGAATGGATTTCTGCATCGTAAGTTTCTATACTATAATACATAATGATTATTGAGTCTTGCAATTTTTAAATTGTCTTGTGAGTATTATGAGTTATGTGACTGCGCAGAAAGAATTCCTGAATTCGTATAATTGCAACAATTATTAACAGTGCGCTTAAAATTGCATTGAGAACTAATAAAATAAAAGAAAAATAAAAAATAAAAAAATTTTTAAAATCTTTTGACTTTGTAATTTGCTTGTTTGGGCTGAAAGAAGAGCCTCTAGTTAAAATTTCATAAATAATGAGAGATAATAAATAAAGCCTTTCATCTTTCATCATTTCATACCTAGAGAACGATAAGCTAATACTAACGCGTGTTTTATTTTGTTTCCGATTCTTTCTGTTATTTTATTTGCGCTACTCGCAGAATCCCATCATGGAGAAAGTAAGTGAAGTCTTCTTGAAAGTTAGCTTTTTGCAACTTTTTACTGTTTCGCTATTTGTACATATTTTTTATGCAAACGTTATTGTTTCACTTGAACACATTACATTTTCACAGCTTTAACATGTTACCGTATTTAGCTGCAGAATTATTCACACCACTTTACCCTTATAATTTTTTCCCTCTAGTGTTATTACACTAGTTTCGTTTGGAATTGAATATATTAAAGCTCGGCTTGTCAAAAATTATGCACCTAATACCGGTTAAAGTAGATATGTACTATAATTTACGCTAAACGTGGGCCATAAAATTTAATGAATATGTTTGGAGAGGCCTATTCTTCAATTTTATGTATAATTTAAAATATTTCTAGCTGAGCTACAAACATTAGCAGTAATTATAAACAGTTACACTACATGAACAACTCTGTTGCTTTGGGTAGATGCTAATGTAGATTAAAGTACTTGAAAGGTTTAGTGCATTGCCAGATATATATATATGAATACAGTGAATGCGTATCCTCTTTATTGAATAGAAAAGAAATAGTTTTTCAAATATTAAATGAATGTCAAATTTTCTGCAGAACGTGCTTTGTCCATGTTTTCATTTTTAATTTTATTACAAATATAAGAAGCGCGCGAATGTCAAACAAATTATCGTAAACATTTTCAAAACAGTCAATGTACGTTTGAATGCGCGCTGCTTCTTTATCAAATCTAAGATAAAAGATGAGTCAATAAAATAATTTTAACACGCGTACCAAACAATTGAGGCTGATCATTGGAGTCGACGAAAATTATTCTTATTGACGATTATCTTGAAAGTCACATACACAGTCACATCGACAACAGGCAATCTCCACAAAATATCAACACTGTGCACAGCGATTTAAGTTGCTTCTTTTGGCTCAATATATCGTATCATATCATGGAATCATTGACATCATCACGATCACGCGTCTCTCACAAATGTCTTACATTTACGTCTCATTTGCCAAGGCAGGATAAAGACATTTTGAATTTTTTTATAAATTTATTAATTTATTAATCGTAACGATACACCTCAATGATGGCCACATTTTTTATAAGTTAATTATATGCCATTAAGTGCTGCTAGAGTTATACAAAAACGCCTTCTTTGCTTTACATCGAGCGATATGGAACACGCGTATCACGCTAATTCTGGAACTGAGTTCATTTATATGCAATATGTACGTCCTTGATTTTTCGGAGTGTATGATTAATGATTTGAAAATACAATGAGACGCTTTAGAATGTGTCCCGTTTTGAATTTTACAATTACGAAAAGCATCGCTGCTGAGCTCTTATAAATCTCTGTATACAAATTTTGTTTATAATTACACTGTACACTAAACTGTAAATATAAGCATTGATGAATTAACAGATGCATGCGTACAACTGGTCAGATCATAGGAATTATTCTAACATTGCATTTATGCCAACCAAACAACTGTCTTACACATTTATTGTATTGGCATTTTATATATATATATACTCTAGTGTGCTCGCGTGTGCGAAGGATGCGTTAGAAAACGAACGTTTCGGCAAATTTAATTTGATCCGACAGGTTGTTACGAATGTTCTACAATTTACCTGCAAAGTAAAAATATCCGTATATTATATTACCCGTAAACTTGCCTCTTACAATTCTCAATTATCTATTTGTATACATAATATTTTGTAAACACGTATCACGAAACATAATAAACTGCACTTCCCATTGAGCAATTTATATACAGCAAAAGCACACGCTTTCCGTAAAGTCGATAATTCAAATACCTCTACAATTTCTTTATGTCAATTATGATATTTGCATCTCCGGCGACAGTTAGCTAATTAATGCCCCGACTAACTCGGCCTTTATTTCCGCTTCACGGGCAACAGCTTCCTGGTATCGTTTTTGGTGGACGCGAGAGGTGGGGCGATGCGGGGCTGCCGCCATAGTGGCGTAAGGGTCATAGTACCACCCAGGAAGGCGACGATGCCCATGAGAGTAACCTGCAGATATCTCAAGAGGGACAAGCTAACGAATCCGCCGCCACTTATGGAAGGTGAGGCCTTGGCCAGTCGGATTCTCGAGCTCGGGCCTGTGGACGCGAAGTTTTTGGGGTATGTCATGTCACACATTATTTATTATTATTATATCGTTAGCATATTTTATTGAAGAATTGAGCGCGAAAAGTTTTGCGACGCTGCACCTTTTTCGACCTTCATTTCACAATGTCATTAGAGCAGTGTGTAATTGCATTGGATTAAATTGTATTTGAATCGGAAAAACAGATCGAAACGTATAATGAATGATAACTTTTTAACCTTGATTTTTATGAAGAAGATGAATTTTCAATAATTAATATGGTAGTGCGCTGTATAATGTAAAATTACTAAGTACGAGTCTAAATAATATTTTACTCGGCTTTCAATATATTTCAGAAATGAATTGTAATTATTCAATTATTTTATGTATTCAAAGTTTTTTTTTTTTTTTAATATAATCTGAATTTGCTATTATTATTTAACATTTAATTACAGTAGATAAGAATATTATGAAGTAATAATTACTTAAATATTCTCGGAATATGATATCATAGGCCGTTATGTATAATATTAAAAGTGGCATTGCCGTAAATCATAATGAAAATTTCAAATTCTCATAGCAATAAAAAATTTTTTATTAACGTAAATGACAATAGGCTCATTATTAGAATTGCAATTTTATTTTAAATTGTTCATTTTAGTAAATGATTTTATTATCGTTTAAAGGTCAATCTGTTAATTTGTTATTTGTGGATAAAAAATATTTTCCCAAAGATTTCGTTTACAATATTTACTAATAGCAAATTACATTTCAATTGACAAACAGTCGTAATCTTTTAACTTATAGATTATTGATCAATTTGGTTTTTTAATTTTGCTTATTTTTTGTTTATGCTCGACGCGACGATGAATGTATAAGATTTAATCGCATCAGTATTTTATTGATTCTTTGCACCAACTATTCTATTTTCTTATTTTAATTATCGTCATCGTCTATACCATTATTATCATTATTATTGTTCATATTATTAGTATTAATACGATTCATTTCACAATATAATCGGCCAATTTCAGACCTGTAATTATCGAGGTGCCACACTTTGCCTCACTACGAGGTAAAGAAAGAGAAATCGTTATATTGCGATCGGATAATGGAGAAACCTGGCGTGAACATACTCTGGAAGCTAGCGAAGAGGCGGTCCAGGATGTTCTTAACGAGAGCTTTGAAGGAGAGGGTAAATATAGTACCTATTAATAGATCGTAAATCACAATTAATAATCGTATTTATAGTACGTATGTGTAAAATAAACATTTATGTTTATTTCATTTTACTTGTTAAAGAATTAAGCCAGCTGGAGGATCTCCAAACTTCACGCATCGTAAGGATATTGACAGTGGACTTCCCGCACTATTTCGCTGTTGTTTCTCGTATAAGACAAGAGGTGCATGCAGTAGGACCAGAAGGTGGAACGGTATCATCATCAGCAGTACCACAAGTTCAAGCTATCTTCCCAGCAGCAGCTCTTACAAAGAAAATCAGAGTGGGTTTGCAGGTAATATCACCGTCACGTTATTTATTTATATCTATATATATATATATATATATAGATGGGCGTGTGCGTGCGTGCGTGTATGAACGTTTCAAAATATAGTATGGAACTTGGCGTAATTCTTATTTGAAATGACGAATGAGCGAAAGTTCGTTTTGCAAAAACAAATACAAAAATTCAAAACAATGGATAGCGTAGGCTACGCAAATGTCTTCATAAACTATGAAATAAGCTTTAATCAAACGCTGAATAATTTCCTCCCAACGTCCATTGAAATTCTCTCCGATACCCGAATTCTAGGCTCACCCGATACCGGCTAAATTGGTAGCTAAGCTCTTGGGTAATCGGGTCGCCGTGTCGCCTATCGTAACTGTAGAACCACGAAGACGGAAGTTCCACAAGCCAATAATATTGACGATACCCGTGCCTCAAGCGGCCAATAAAGGAATGATCAACCAATATTCTGGGGACGCACCGACGCTGAGGCTCCTTTGCAGTATAACTGGTAATATATGCTTGCGCGTAACATTTAGCGAAAGGCCACCTCGCTCTCGGAATAAGCTCCTTCCCCTTGATAAACCTATTGCTGTAATTAATGCGTACGGGGACCCGCGAGATCTTGAAAACGCTCTTTGACGAGCGACATGCAGTTCTAACGGGAAGATGTAAAAGAATGAGGTGGCACGCACTTTTTATTTCATAGGAAACATCTTGTTAATTACCATTGTTGTATACATATCTTGTTGTGATTCATTGTTAATGCTTGCGTATTATTAGGATTGAGTCATTTAGGTATGGATCATTACTTAACGTAGATTAAATTTTTTACTATGTCTAGCACCGTTTTAAATCAATAGTTTTTCTTTCAGCACATACGCTTATTTGAAGAATTCTTATTAGCATATGTAACAATCACTTATGAATTTTATTTTGTATAACTTTTTCCCAATTGTTTTCAAAGCTTATAAAAATGTAAGATATTTTAAAGTTGACTTTTTATACGAGACTCCAACGATTAATCAGTCACACATAATAAGTAATAATTGAATTGCTATAGATTCTTTTGACTTTTTCTTAACAACATTATATTATAAGCAAATGAACACATAATTTTATATTTCGTACTGACAAATATTACGCAATGAAACGAGTATTTTATAATTTAATGCTTTAGTTATTTCGCTCATTTTCTACACATATTACAAATATTTATTATTACTTTCACGTAGAATAATTTTCACTGTTTTAAGTTATTTCGCAAGCATTATCAGCCAAATACGATTAACGCATTATTCTTCTTCAAATTATTATTATTGTTCTGGTTCTTATTTTGCTTATTAGAGTAATTAATGTTCTTTATTTATTTATTTATTTATTTATTTTTTTTTTTTTATTTAGTATTATTATCATTATTATCATTATTATCATTATCATTATCATTATCATTATTATTATTATTATTATTATTATTATTAGTAGTAGTAGTAGTAGTAGTAGTAGTAGTAGTAGTAGTAGTAGTAGTAGTAGTAGTAGTAGTAGTAGTAGTAGTAGTAGTAGTAGTAGTAGTAGTAGTAGTAGTAGTAGTAGTAGTAGTAGTAGTAGTAGTAGTAGTAGTAGTAGTAGTAGTAGTAGTAGTAGTAGTAGTAGTAGTAGTAGTAGTAGTAGTAGTAGTAGTAGTAGTAGTAGTAGTAGTAGTAGTAGTAGTAGTAGTAGTAGTAGTAGTAGTAGTAGTAGTAGTAGTAGTAGTAGTAGTAGTAGTAGTAGTAGTAGTAGTAGTAGTAGTAGTAGTAGTAGTAATAGTAGTGGTATTGTTGCTGTTATTTATTTTTAATATGATTAGGGCACGCGTCAATAAACACATTATTCTAAACGATCCGAAATATGGTTCATTGTATATTTAGATAAGAATAGAAAATACTGTAATTTTATTTATCGTCTTTTGTTATAACCACACATCCAATTTCACACGCCTCATATCGTAATACAGACGATTATCTACTTAACCGCAGCACGGACATATTCTAATAATTTTATTGGACTTGGTATGTATGTCGTTCAGGGGGTCAGTCTCGGGCGGTTTGGGAGGATGTGACCGGCTCAACACCCTTGACTTTTGTCAAGGACTGCGTCTCATTTACAACGACAGTCTCCGCTCGATTTTGGCTAATGGATTGCCGAAATATATCGGAGGCTACGAAAATGGCAACAGAATTATATACACACGCAACTCATGTGCCTTTTATGGCTAAGTATGCACTTTACGTCTACTATTGTCATATTATCGATCATAGGGAGTTTTAATAGTTAATTGTTCGTGATATTCGTATGTTTGCAGATTCGTCGTTTTTGCTAAACGAGTCGATCCCTTAGAAGCGAGATTGCGCGTATTTTGTATGACAGATGATAAAGAAGACAAAACATTAGAGCATCAAGAACACTTTACCGAAGTTGCCAAGAGCCGTGATGTCGAGGTAAAAATGAATTTGCATTTTCTTAGAAATTGCCTTCGAGAAGTTTTTTATTATTATTGTTATTTATTATTGTTTATTTGTTTCTTTTTTCTTTTTTTTTTTTTTTTTTTAATATTAACGCTATTTGGCAATTAGGTTCTTGAGGGAAAAACACAATACATGGAATTTGGTGGTAATCTTATACCGGTACTGAAAAGTGGCGAACAATTGCAATTACCGTTTAGAGCGTTTAAAGAAAATAGGGTTCCTTTCACCGTTAGGGTTAAAGATCCCGATGCAGCAGATATGATGGGTAGAATCATGTTTATGAATGAGCCTAGAATTGCAAAGGGTGAACCACCACAGACTCCAATTTGTACGTTGAACATTCTTCTACCCGAGAAAATCTCACCCGAAAGCAGAAATTCCGAGCTCGATTTACTCGAGCTGTCGAAAAATTACAGTTTCATCCGCGATGGAGAATTAAGTAAGCACAAATGCACTTTATTTATTTAATGCTTTATGAGTGGCACACATCTTTAAAAATTTATTCAATTTAATCGAGAAATTAATCTTTTTACAGGCAGGCCCGAGGCTATTCATCGTGCTACAATACGCCTGACGGATATCGCTAATTTGCTCGAAGAAGATTGGGAAAAACTCGCCCAAGAGTTAAATATCTCCTCCAATGAAATTAGTCAAATTAAAGAAGAATATCCCGATAAAACCGCGCAACAAGCAACGGCGATGTTCAAAGTCTGGCAAAGCAATGGAAATAAGGCAACCGGTAAGTCTTTCATAGCATTAGTTCATCGTATCATCATTCGTCTTATTTTAAATAAGTCATGTCTTATATATTGTCGAAAAAATTTGTGAAAACATCTTTAAAATAAAAAAAAAAAAAAAGAAAAAAAAAAGAAAAAATGTTTACAATAATATTGTAGAATATGAATGTGTGAAAAACCAGTTTCACACGACAGAGTGAGGTAAACACACGTTTAAAAAGAATTGAGTCACACGTGTGGAATCTCTGCAGAATCGTAGTCGATGATGTCATTCATTATTATGCTTGACATAAAATCCATGGACCGTGTGCGGTTGCCTCGTAATACCCTCTCCCCTTCCCTACTCACGCAGTTCGTTCGCGCTAATCGTCGACGTCGCATTATATACGTGTCGCTGCAGCTCGCGATCATCGTTATACTATAATCAGCAAAAATAACGATATTAGCTCAGTGTTCAACCGACCTGCATGAAGTGACATTAGGAGAACTTGCAGATTGCTGGAGGTCGATCGTTTTTAGTGCAGACCTTGCGGATGAGGTTTATTTCCTTTATATTACAATGTTTCTATCATTGTATCAAGAATATGAAAGTGAAACGCCACAACAATACAAAAGTGAATTGATGATATTGTTTAAACGAACTCCAGCTCTGCGAGAAAAAGTCACTCGGCAGGAAGGTCCGTGTTAAAATAATATCCAAGCATTTAAGTTATGGAATAAAATTTAATTAAGTTAAAAGCTTGCGATATTTACTATTTATAAAAATTATGAAATTTTATAGCTTTCAAATTGAGTGTTAAAAGACTGGAAAATTACACATTCAAGTATCAGAGTGTCACGAAAATAACAATTATTATTTTTTATATATATATATATATATATATATATATATATATATATATATATACATATTTCGTTTGAGAATTAGATGAATGGTATAATGGTATAATTAAGCTTTCAATAAATTTTTAACATAGGAAACACTTTGGAAAAGGCGCTAAACAAAATTGGTCGCGAGGATATTGTAAAGCAATGCATCTTTAACGTCGAGCTAGTGACGGATGATATTGAAAAAGCAGTCGCTCGCGTCAGGTTGGATCAACCTGGTTTTGACTCCCTAAAAGAAGAATTGGGTCCATCGAGAAATACATCTCTTAGACGAGACGCAACGATGGATCCCAAAATGGATCCGGATTACGAAGAACTTGACAGAATAAAGGTATGGTGTGATGATAGATGGCTATTTAAAAATTCGGACTTATTCTACAGAAATTATGGGATAAAATATTTATTAAGTAAGTACAGAAAGAAAAAAAAAAAGATGAAATAAAAAAAAACAAGATTGTCTTCAATTAGATGTTAAATTGCTGTTTTATTTCTTCAATGGGTGCCGGCTTAATAATCTTAATAATGAATACTCATAAGTGAGCGTAATATAGTTGAAATTTTACTTTAATCGTATATATATATGTGTATATATATATATATATATATATATATATATATATATATATTCTTCATTGTGTTCCTTGACCTTTGAAATTATCAAAAGTACATTAGTTTATTCGCGATATGATAATTACCCGGTTAATTAAAAGTGACTCTATTGTTTGTTGCAGCATTCTGAATCCACAGAAGACCTGAATAATATCGGTGGTGGTAAAAGGACGAGTAAGTATTATCTGCAAATATGACATTTGAATTAAATTTAAATGGATTTTTTTTTTTTTTTTTTTTTTTTTTCATTATTATACATATCGTCAGTGAAATGTAAGCAATTTTACTTAAAGTTTTTTCAATAGATAATTAATTACTTACTATACCTCGGCTGTTATGGCTCTTCCGGTTTATTATAATATTATTGCATGATTCACGGCATAGCTAACTTCCTACGCAGTAAGTGGTGTCGTGAAAACTATGTCGTCAATGTTACTGCGAGCACATCACACTTTTCACAATTATTTCACTCTTCTTCAAAAGCTTAAGTCATTACGCTGATGTATAATTATGACATAATCGCTTATACATACAATTATCTGAATTTTTATAATATAGCGTTAGTCAGTATTGCATTTTTATTCTAACTTTATATTCTTGTTGCATTGATGGGGATGTCGGAGGTATTTATATTTTTCGTGATATGATTCTCTCATTCGATCAGATTACTCGAATTTTGTAAAAATGATTTAATTTCTAATAATAAAGATTACATCATGAATATATAATAAAGATCATAGTGAAAAAAGAGGAAATCGTAAAAATTATAAATACATTATTGAGAAAGACGTAGTGACGATTATAATAAATAAAGTCTCAGTTGTTTATGATTGATAGGCGAGTAATATTTCAAAAATTCGAGTGATTTGGTTTGAAACGTATTTGCAATGAATTATTTTATCGTTACTTGCCCTCCGAAATTCTCTCAAGGTATTTTCTTTTTGGCTAATGAAAATAATTTTGCCGTTAATTGATTAATAGGGCAATAAAATTTGGCGTTTATTTTATTTCACATTCACTATGTGTTGCTCATTTTTTTTTTTTTTTTGCACTTAACAGCCAAACAGCACGTAACTATTACGAATGGCACTGTTTACAACGCTACCTCGACCCCAATCAAAGATAAATATGCCAGCGATGAAAAAGATCTTGGTGATACGATGGCCGATTTTATCGAGAATAAATATCGTACCACCGATACAATGGTGAAAAAATCTCGCGATGAAATTGACGACGATAACAAAAAGCGCCAGCGGGTCTTGGCAGATGCTAACAAAATAGTTTCCGGTAAGTAATATATGCATGCATGACTACGGAATAGTCGCCGGGTTGAGGGGATTAGCTTAACTTGATATAGAAATAATAATGACATCGAACGGTAAAAATAAACAAGCTAATAAATAAATTTTTCTTACGCAACAAACTCATGATTTTCGTCTAACTACGAACTGACGTTAATCCATGATTTACACTTCGATGTCTACTATTAATATAATAATATACGCTTTTGCACTCTGTGCAAAATTCTGCGCTATTATATCCTTATTTATATTTAACCAATTAATTATTTTTTCTTTTTCTTTTTTTTTTTTTTATATAAATATATATTTACCACTACAATGTGACAGGTTTCTGGAAGCCGGTGCCAATTTCTTCAAATTTGCAGAGCTTGCTTATTAAAACATACGATTAATGTATAACAAAAGATTTAATTTCTTAGCAGCAGATTTTTTGTATCGCTGATATGTGCTGCATAAGCTCTATTTACATCTTTTATTTCAGCTTTTCAGCGACGATTTGTTTCAGCAAGATTATTTTCTGCAATTTTCTGGCGCTGCATGCATAGTCTAACTGCGTATGCGTATATAGCAGCTATCGATTAAAATCAATTTTAGCAAATAGTATTTAACGTCTTACGTGGTGAAGCGCTCTCTCTCTCTCTCTCTCTCTCTCTCTCTTTCTCTCTTATTTTTCTTCTTTTTTTTTTTTATAAAAAGTAGCGCCTAGTATTAATTTCATATAAATGATACTAATTTTATTAAATAGCAATCGTTTTAACAATTGTGAACTTGAATTTGTAACGTACGCTTGTAAAACTATTTAGTGTTTACTTACTTACATAGATTTACAAAAGCAGTTCTATTAATAAATATTTCTGTCTAACAATAATTGATCCAGTGATATGAAAACGTATGAAATTTCATTATATGATTTAGATGCATTAATAAAATATCAAAATAACGTCTTTTAAAGTATCAATAACAAAATCATTAAAATAATAGAATATTAGTTAATCTAATAATGGTGATGACTGCTCCACAGCACTTACACTACGCACAAGCTATATGGAAGTCTAACAGCCGTTATCATTATATCGATAGGCAAGAAAAAGTCATTCAGCTAACACTAATGATGAATACAGAATATGAAAATATGATCATAATGATACTTATTTAAAAACGAATTTTACATGGCTAAAATATGAAATACTTAATTAACAGGTGTAAGACAAGATGCTGAGAAAAAGATGGGCGAATTAACGACGGAAGGGTGGTCGGTGGTTTCTAATGATGATGTGCGAAAAAATAATGAGGTGGGATATGTTATAATGCAACAGAAACATACGATGGTAGATGATCCGAGCGTAGCGGTTGAACCGCCTATTATTCAGCAGAAATGCATTGTAGGGACTAATGGCGATAGGACTGTAACAACAATAACTACTAAAACTATAATTACAACTACTAGGGACGGTAAAAATAAAAAAATTCTTGATAATGAGGAAATCGATGAGAGTGAATCTCCAAAATACGGTGGTGATAATCAATCGAAGAGCAAGGCAATTTGTGAAACGGTTACCACAGACAAAATCGATGCACCGCAATCTCAACACGAATGTATGATTGATAAAAATAATCAACCATCAGCCTATGAAATAGTTTATAGTGCAAAAGAAAATATTAATAAAGAGAAAAGAGATAATATCGAAACTGAAAATAAAAAATTAAAAGACAAAACGAACGGTATATTTGCAGGCATATTCAAAACACCAAAATTAAGAAAAGATAAGTCCAAACAATCGAAGGAAATTTCATTCGACAGTGCTGATGAAGACACAAAACTAATAACAATAAATTTGTTGGACGATATGAAAAAATATACGAATGAAACGCACGGCCATGAAGTTATAACTGTCGAACAAATACAAGACAAACAGCAAAATCGCCAAGATTTGACAAATGTAGATATTAATGTAAAAGATGATGTACTTGATAAACATCTAACCGATACGGCCAAGGATAAAAATGTTGGCATTTTTGGAATATTTAAACACTCAAAATCAAAAAGCAAAAGCAGAAGCAGTTCCAAAGAAAAAAATTCTTCCAATGATGTTTCATTTGACAGTGGTGATGAAGAAACCAGAAAAATCACTACAAACATTTTAAAAGACATTAAAAAAAATTCAGCATATTATACGGATCCCGTTGTAAAAACAATCGATGCAGATGTACATTATGTAGATAATATATACCAACGATATTCGAATAACGAAAATGACGAACAGAAACATAAGGACAGTACACACGAGCAAACATCTAAGGAAGCAGATGAGAAAGATAACGATAAATCAAGCGGATTCTTTAATAAATTCAAAAATCCGAAAACAAAGGGAAAAAAATACGGTAAATCCATAGAAAAAAATAATTTACAAACAACACAACGTGAAAGTATTCATGAAGCAACACGGAATATCAGAGACAATTTATTGGAAGATACTAAAATGACAACTGTAAGACCAAATCCATACCCCAATGACTATAAAAATCAGACACTAGATTATAATCAACCGCTGTCGTCAAAATTAGAGGGAAATCAAGAATCTGCAAATATACGTCATACAAGTTCAGAAAAATTACAACTCTATACAGAAAATTTTCCAGACTGTATAAAAGACAATGTAAATATTAATAGCAAAGATATTAAAAAAGCTACGGAGCAATTCTTGGAAGATAGTATTAACATAGCGAGAATTAACGACGCACGTCCGTATCCAGCAAATGTTATAAATAACCGCGGCCAAACAGTGCATAACGAAACCGATAAATTCAAGCAAGATTTACCAACGAAAGATTCGATGAAGCATAGTCAATGGCCTAATCGTGCAAATGACAATGTCGTTGATCCAACAACGGCTGCAAAGGACAATGTCGTTGATGCAACAAGGGACGCAAAGGACAAAATTGTTGATACAGCAAATGATGCTAAAGTGAAAACTGAGAAGACCGTGAAGGAGGTTGCTGATTCAACGGAAGCAGCTGCGAAAAAAGCTAAAGATAAAACTGGCGGATTCTTCTCTGGAATTTTCAAAGGCGCGAAACACGCAGCCGACGAAGTTGCAGACGACGTGAAGGAATTTGCTGAAGAGACTAAACAAGAAGCTATTGAAGAAGAAGAAAAAGCTAAAAGAGCAGCAGAGAAAGCGGCCAAGGGTCTGAAAGATGGGGCTGAGAAGGTTGTAGATGACGTCAAGAAAGGAGCCGAAGCAGTTGGAACAAAACTTTCAACAACTGAGAGAAAAATCGAACATGGCTTGGGCGACCTCAAAGATAAAATTGATGATACTGGAAAGAAAGCTGCTACAAAAGTTCACGACGTAGTCGAGGATGTGAAGGACACGAGCAAGGCTGCAAAGGACAAAGTCGTCGATACAACAAGAGATGCAAAGGACAATGTCGTTGATGCAACAAGGGACGCAAAGGACAAAATTGTTGATACAGCAAATGATGTTAAAGTGAAAACTGAGAAGACCGTGAAGGAGGTTGCTGATTCAACGGAAGCTGCTGCGAAAAAAGCTAAAGATAAAACTGGCGGATTCTTCTCTGGAATTTTCAAAGGCGCGAAACACGCAGCCGACGAAGTTGCAGACGACGTGAAGGAATTTGCTGAAGAGACTAAACAAGAAGCTATTGAAGAAGAAGAAAAAGCTAAAAGAGCAGCAGAGAAAGCGGCCAAGGGTCTGAAAGATGGGGCTGAGAAGGTTGTAGATGACGTCAAGAAAGGAGCCGAAGCAGTTGGAACAAAACTTTCAACAACTGAGAGAAAAATCGAACATGGCTTGGGCGACCTCAAAGATAAAATTGATGATACTGGAAAGAAAGCTGCTACAAAAGTTCACGACGTAGTCGAGGATGTGAAGGACACGAGCAAGGCTGCAAAGGACAAAGTCGTCGATACAACAAGAGATGCAAAGGACAATGTCGTTGATGCAACAAGGGACGCAAAGGACAAAATTGTTGATACAGCAAATGATGTTAAAGTGAAAACTGAGAAGACCGTGAAGGAGGTTGCTGATTCAACGGAAGCTGCTGCGAAAAAAGCTAAAGATAAAACTGGCGGATTCTTCTCTGGAATTTTCAAAGGCGCGAAACACGCAGCCGACGAAGTTGCAGACGACGTGAAGGAATTTGCTGAAGAGACTAAACAAGAAGCTATTGAAGAAGAAGAAAAAGCTAAAAGAGCAGCAGAGAAAGCGGCCAAGGGTCTGAAAGATGGGGCTGAGAAGGTTGTAGATGACGTCAAGAAAGGAGCCGAAGCAGTTGGAACAAAACTTTCAACAACTGAGAGAAAAATCGAACATGGCTTGGGCGACCTCAAAGATAAAATTGATGATACTGGAAAGAAAGCTGCTACAAAAGTTCACGACGTAGTCGAGGATGTGAAGGACACGAGCAAGGCTGCAAAGGACAAAGTCGTCGATACAACAAGAGATGCAAAGGACAATGTCGTTGATGCAACAAGGGACGCAAAGGACAAAATTGTTGATACAGCAAATGATGTTAAAGTGAAAACTGAGAAGACCGTGAAGGAGGTTGCTGATTCAACGGAAGCTGCTGCGAAAAAAGCTAAAGATAAAACTGGCGGATTCTTCTCTGGAATTTTCAAAGGCGCGAAACACGCAGCCGACGAAGTTGCAGACGACGTGAAGGAATTTGCTGAAGAGACTAAACAAGAAGCTATTGAAGAAGAAGAAAAAGCTAAAAGAGCAGCAGAGAAAGCGGCCAAGGGTCTGAAAGATGGGGCTGAGAAGGTTGTAGATGACGTCAAGAAAGGAGCCGAAGCAGTTGGAACAAAACTTTCAACAACTGAGAGAAAAATCGAACATGGCTTGGGCGACCTCAAAGATAAAATTGATGATACTGGAAAGAAAGCTGCTACAAAAGTTCACGACGTAGTCGAGGATGTGAAGGACACGAGCAAGGCTGCAAAGGACAAAGTCGTCGATACAA